CCAAGCTGCCCAGGTCATGGAAGTTCAGAGGGCCTCATTAGTCACACATAGCCCACTCTGCTGTGACGGTAGCAGCCCCCTCCAGGTCAATACCAGGGTCCCCTTTGAAAAATCCACCCTTGGCCATCCCCCACCCTTCCTTTCTTCCCTCTGTCTTCCCCACCCCTCTCTCATCACCCTCATGCATGTCTGCACCTTGTTGCCCTAATAAGTGCGTGGGAATGTATGAATGAATGGCCCAACTCCCTGCTCATCGACAAGCTCACCAACAAGCTCATCGAAGACAAGCTGACCATTTGCCCCTCTTCATTATTCCACAGAGAGCAGAGCCTTGCCTTGGGGTGGGTCCTCAGGAAACTTGGGGCAAAAAGTCATGGCAGAGAAGTCAAGTTCCAAGACAGAGCAGTCATGTGACCTCAACCAGTCAGTCAATCACTTCTCTTTCTGCTCTTGTTGTTCAATGACACGATGGTCCTCCCCTTGTACTGACAGCCTCCAGCTACTAGGGGTAAATGGGAGAACGTCCAGTAACAGCAACACCACTTGGATGGGCAAGGAAGCAAGGACTACTATCAAACCCAAGGCCAACTACAGCCACCCTCCAAGGGCGGACCCCTAGATGCTGATAACAATAGCTGCCATTTACTGAGTCCCATAATGTGCCAGGGACCATCCTAAGTGCTTACATACTACATCTGGTTTCATCCTCCCCACAATCCAGGAGGAAACTGAGACTCAGAGACATTATGTCCTTTGCCAAGGACACACAGCTAACAAGTGGAGGTGCCAGGATTCAAACCCGGAGCTGGGCTGACTCAAGACAGCACACCTTACTGCTTATGCATGTTCATCTACTGGTGAGCTATTCATTCATTGGCACCTTGCCCACCTTCGAAGTGCCAGGCATCATGTTGGAAGGTGACAAAGATCCAGCATGCAAGTACAATGTCCCGCATGAAAGGTGAGGGACACAGGAGTCAGAGGCAGCTCCAGGCTCAGCCATCAGGCAAGGTGTCCTGAGCAAGGCTTGGCCTGGTGGGGCCTGGGCCAGAGAGCAAGGGCAGGGAGAGTGCATATGGCTGAAGAGGAACTGGGAATACGTATTTTAAACAAAGATCCATTTCTTAACTGCAGAACTTAGAGCTTTTGACAGGCCCTGCATCTCTAAAAAAGAGGAAGTGGAAAGCAGGGTTTCTGTGACTTATTTGCCCACAAAACTGTCTTTTCAAGACATGCTGATCAATGTCTGGGGAACACCAAGGCTTGGAAACATTGCTCAGGTGTTAGACTCTTGTTCTGAAATATAATTCATGGGCTATCAAATCTGGAACACCCTCAGAGATAACCTAGTCTGCCCCTCATTTTATGGATGGGGAAACTGAGGCTTGGCACGGTAGAGGTGGCCAGGGCAACAAAGGGCCTCCACAGCCCAGCCCTCAGGGTCCCCGTTTCCCACACAGCCCTGGAGGCCCTCAGCTGTGCCAAGGATCTGGGTATCCGTGTAGGCCTCTCCCCTCAAACTCTGAGCTCCTATGCTCCAAACAGAGAGGACATTCCCAAAAGTTCAGCTCAGAGTGAGAGATTCAGGGCAGATGCCAGGAAGGGCTTTCTAGCAGCAGGGTCTGGATGACAGGAACAAGCAGTCTCCTTCTCGAAGGGCTTCTGAGAAGAAGCAGAGGCCAGGGGCCCTGGGGCTGCACAAGGCACTGGCCCAGCTTCCTTGTGGCCACAGAGGGTGGGGTGGGGCAGGGAAGGAAGACTCAGGCCCCAGGAGCTGCCTTCCTGGTTTGGGTCGGGACCCTCAGCTTGGACCAGAAACAGGGGTGAGCGAGAGCCCCTGTGGGGATAAGCCCTGGAATGCTGCTGTCCTTGGTCCCCTGCAAGTGCCCAGGCCCTCCGCCTCTGGGAAGCCAGTCCTGCTTGTTCCAACCACACCTATTTTTTCCTCCTTGGAACCCTGATGTCGACTCAACTCAGAAAAGATTCCCTGAGGTCAGATGGTCCCTGGGGGGAGGGGGAGGAGGCAATACCAGGAAGGCAGGCATGACTCCATCCTTAGGGGGCTCCAAGTGGGAAGTAGAGACTGGCCTGGACACCAGGCTGTGTGAGGAATGGGGCGGGGGGTGGGGGCAGGTACAAGGCCATGTCCCCCTCCACCAGAAAGCAACAGAGGAAGAGAATTCCACCTGAGGATGTGCCCAGGAGTGCACCCCTGAAGAGAGGGCCTCCGAGCTGGGCTATGAGTAGTGGTGGGGAGCACAGAGAAAGTGCAAAGCCTTGTAGGGTGGGTGGAGGAAGGGACTGGCCACCACTTGCACCTGGGGTCTAGTGGGGGTCATGCTGAGTGGTCAGAGGAGAGGCTTGGGAGGTAAACTGTGGGTGTCAGTGCATTCCCACCTATCACTAGCTGGCTGAGCTCAGGCCTGTCACTGAACCCCCTGTGCCTCAGTTTTCTTCCTAGAAGGACACTAGTAACAGCACCCATTGTTGCTGAGAGGACAGAAACTCTCAGAGCTGGGCTGACCCATGGAAGGCTCTGGCAGTGTGGGCTTTTGCTGTAGAGGGGGTACAGTCAGGGTAGGGGTAGGCCCAGCCCTGAGGAGCTTATCCTGCACCACCTGGTCTGCTGCTGGGATTTGACAGGCAGCTTATAAACTGCTGAAGGCAAGTCCTCAGTGGCCACTCAGCAAACACTTGTGCACTTGAGCTGATGTGAGCACTGTCCCCACCTCCTAGCTCATAACTGATACTACATACCAAACACTGAGCTAGGTACTTGTGTGTGTATATGTGTGTATTCTTAATTAATTCTCCCATCCACTTGAGGATGTAGTGATATATAATATAATATCATCAGCATTTTACACATGCAAAAACCAAGTCAAAAAAAAAAAAAAAAGTCCTAAGAAGTTAACAGTAAAAATTGCCCAAGGCCACGTGGATGCTAATGGCAGGACTTCCTGACTCCAAGTCCAGTGCTCTTTCTACTGCCCTCCAAACCACAGCCTGTCCAAAGGCAGGGGGAGCCTAGAAAATGTCCGAGGCAACTCTCACACTCCCCATACACTCACCCAGACTAAGCTTCTGTCCATGGCACTAACATACCCGTGACCCCTGACCTGTGCCCTGAGCCCTCCCTCAGCCCAATGCACAGCCCCTCCCCTGCCACATCCCCCGACTCTCCACACACCCCAGTGTGACTGCAATTCTGGCCTCCGGCTCTGGGGTCCAGAGCGCTGGCCCCTGCCCTCTCCCCAGGGATTCGGGGCTCTGCAGGGGGACATCACAGCCTCAGGGCTCCCAACACCCAGTGAGGAAAAGCAAGGCCCAGAGAGCCAGAAAGTAAACACTTCTGGATCCTCACCCCTGCTTCAGAATCAGCCAGTCTCTGGTGGGATCCAGGCTTCAGTTGTTGTTGTTTTTTTTTTTTTAAACTTCACACATGATTCTAAAGTTCAGCAAGAATTAGAACCAATCCTCTAGATACCTGCTTAGTTGCTGGTGAGAAAGGCAGACTCGCAGGCCCCATCCCTGCGAAGAATGGGAACCAGTGCTCTGCATACCTTTATGCTGAAAAGTGCTGCCCCACCAACCCCAGCACATACCAGCAGCCCCCAGGATGAAGCCCCCAGGGCCCTGGAGGTGGATAGTGAGTGTCTGAAGCACTGAGAGAAGGCCCCAGGCCTGAGGAAATGAGGGAGTGACAGCTTAGATCAGGCAGGTGCCTCCAGGTGGTAAAGTGCTTACCCAGTGTCCCCTCATCTGGTCCCCAGTCAGGGAGAGAATCTCATGCCCACCTGGGGAAACTGAGGCTGGGACAGAGGCTCGACTTGACCAGCACCACCCTCACCCTTGCACAGTCCCTGCTCCACAGAAGAGCAGATTTCCCCATCTCAGTTCCGTGTGTTCTGGGAGGCAGGCAGGGAGGCACTGGGGTCACTGCCCAGGTGACAGATAAGCGAGTGAGACCCAGGGCAGGGAACCAAGGGCGGAGCCCTCCGCAAAGCAGACCCAGTGCCCCAGGAGGAAGACTGGGGGAGCTAAGGGGTTAAGGGTCACTGCTGACAGAAGCAGCTCTGCCAGTTGGGGTCCTCAGTGGGCTTTACATCTGGCTGCCAGGGGCCATCATTCCCTGTCAGGGCCACCTGAGCAGTAAGGCCCCCAGCACAACGGACCCCAAGGCGGCGGAGTGGGGGGGGTCCCAGGAAAAGCCTGCAGCTCCTGAAAGGCTCCCCTAGGCAAGGAAGCCTGGCTCTCTACCCTCACACTCCCACCGTGGGCCCCTCTCTGCTGGGAAGAGAGGGCAGGCCACGGAGTCTACAGGCTGCCACACCTCAGTGAGGGTGGGCAGACTGGATGGGGGTGTGGCTGTTCTGCCAAGGGCAGAGGCCAGGGTGTCTTCATCCAGCACCCCTCCCCCCAAACTCCCAGTTCTCCAGGGATGGCTGGGGCCTTTGCCCTCTCTGCTGGAGGAAGCTGGGGCCCCCAGGGCCTGAGATGGGATGGAGAGGATCACATTGGCCAGCGTGGGGGTGGTCGCAGCAAAGGTCCCCCCTTCTCCCCTCCCTGTGCCCACAGCTCTAGGCATCTGGCAGTCCTTCCCCACACCCCTGAAGGCTGACCTGCCTCATCCAGCACCTCTCAGCAGAAAGCCCAAGCCCAGCACTGAGGAAACAGGAGAGAGAGAGACAGAGGGAGGGGAAAAGAGAGGCCCCCCCACTCTGTCCAGCGTAACTTCTCTGCAGACCAAGAGTGCCCACTGCCACCCCCACCCCCATCCTGGCACAGCTGGGCCAAGGAGGGTGAGGGAGAAGGCAGGGAGCCGGAGAGGGGCGCTGTGGGACCCCACGCCCGGGCTTCTTACCCTGGGCCCTCTCCCTCCACAGCCACCCCTCCCGCCCCAGGGGGTCTCAGGCCAAATCACAGACACCACGGGGAGCAGGGAAGTCCTTCCCTCGAAGAGGAGGAACCAAGGGATGGAAGGACAAGTGGGGACCCACCGGGATCGAGAGATGCCAGGCAGGCGGACAGCGGGCAGGCAGCAGCGAGTGTCGGAGACTGCTGCAGGCAGCTGGACGCGACCGGCTGGATGCGCGTCCCTCCGTCCCTCTGTCCATCCAGGGCGGCTCCTCTCTGGGCGGTTCTGAGGCCGGGCGGGCGCTGTTAAAAAGCTTTTTATGTGTGTGTGTGTTAATCACATGATTGCCGTTCACCTGTATTTCGAACAAAGACAGCTCACTGTTTCAAGGCCCCGAACAAGAGTCTGGGCACAGGGAAGAGAAGGGAGGCGGGGGGAGGAGGGTTGGCAGCGCCGGGGGTGGCGTCGAGGAAAACTGGGGGGAGATTGTCCAAGGCCGGCAAGCGAGAGAAAGAGAAAACCCTTATCAAACTCCTAATTCACTGGGCTCCGAGGCCCCAGACACACTGGCCCGATTGTCTGGCTGGTTGTGTGTGCGAGCATGTGTGTGTGTGTGTGTTCCAATGTCCGCTCCCCCCACCCCCAACATGCCTCTGCCTCGTGTGACTACCTCATTGTGTCCCATTACCCACCCCCTCCACCCCCTCCACCCCCTTGGCCTTTCCCAAGCACGAGGTCTTTCCTAGACCCCTTCTGCAGCCCCACTCCAGACAGACTCCCTTGGGGTGGGCCTAGGGCCTTGCCCGGCTCAGAAGTGTATGTGGTCATCAGCGTGGCCCAGGCTCCATCTGCCCCTCAGTGCCCAGCCGCACCTCTGCCTCCATACCCACCCTCTGAGAGGAGAGAGGGGCGATGACCTCTGGGGAGAGACTTGGGAAAGGGGAGAGGAAACGGAGCCTTGGGTGACTGGCAGGAGAGAAAAAGGAGAGAGGTCGCCCCACTGGGGAGATGGCTGAGGACAGGAGTGGGCAGAGAGGAGGGAGTGGGAGGCAGGGAGTTGCCTACCCTTTCAAGGTAGGGGAGTGCAGGACATCCTGCAACCTGGACTGAGACCCCCCCACACCAAGAGAGCATGAGCCCAGTGCAGAGGGAGTTGGGGCCCCTACTTGAAGAGGACCCCCAGCCCAGCCCCATGGCCAGCCTCCTAGGAATTTCAATCCTGCCTCTCTACCTTGAGCCAGCCCAGCCCTCATTTGTGCTCCGTGTCTGAGAAGGGCCCAGGTGTGGAGCTGGGGCCTCTGCCCTGGGTGGGGGCTATCCAGCTGCCTCTGCCTCACCAGCTATGGACCTGAGTGCTCTCTCTCTGGCCATATGAGCTGAGCGGAGGGCAGCCTGCATTGGGGTGGGAGGCAGGTGAGGCAGGCTGAGCAGCAGCAGCCTCCCTCTGGCCACAGTAGGCACTCCCTCCATAAGAGGTCTTAAACCAGCAACGCAGGCCAGCCGCCCTTAGATGGCCAGGGAACCTTCACTGGTGTTCTCCTCATCCAGCCCCAATTCTTTGCCACCTGCCCATCCCACCGCCTTGAGGCACAGGCTGGGGGTCCCAGTTGGGCCCAATTTCCCTGTAAGCAACAGGTTCTGAGCTTGCCCACCTGCACCCGTTGGCCTTCCTGGCCCAAGCACCCCCACTCCTACACCTCCCTGACCAAGCCCAGGCCCCAGGAGCCGCCTGGGACAGCAGCACCCAGAGCTGGGGTGGGGGGGCCTGGCGGAGGAGCCCTGAGTGTTGGGGATGAAGGACAGCGCTGGAGGCTCCACCTTCTGCCCTTCCCTCCCTCCCTCCCCTCCCCCTCCCCTTCTCCCCCTCCTTCCTTCCCAGCCTTCGGCGGCAGCTCAGTGCTCAGTCAGTCTCGGGCTGTCCGGCCAGGGTGGCTGGTGGTGAGGATTCAGGCTCCGTCCCAGCGAGGCCGTGGCCTGAGGCTCTGGGCCCCCCAGCCCCTCCCTCCCAGCCCCCCGGCGTCACCCCCCAGCCCCGAGCTGGACCGCACACCTTGGGACACGGTTTTCCACTTCCTAAGGACGAGCCCCAGACTGGAGGAGCGGTCCGAGGAGGTGAGTGCGCAGCCCGCTCATCCGCTCCTGCCTTCCTGGGGCCGGGCCTGGGACCCTGCGGTGGGGCGTGGGTGGAGAGAGACCCCCGCCTCTGCCCCCCACCCAGCTCCTCCACACTCCATCAGGGGCAGGCAGAAGGGAAGACGGAAAGGTGAGAGAAAAGGTGGGAAATCCCAGGAGCCAGGATTAGAGCAAAATAAAGAGTCCGTTTTTCTTCCTTTCCATCAACAAACCTCCACCCAAAAAGAGGTTTAAAAAAACCCAAACCCACCCACACCAAGAGACGGTTGGGACCAGGTGGTGGGAAGACAGCGGAGGCGGGCGCTAGGAGGCCGAGCCCCGGTCTGGCATGTGCGCGGGCCCCAGGGGCTCTGGCGAGTTCGGGGGGAGCCGGGCGGGCGTCACCTGGGGCCGTGCCCGCGTCGCGTCCCGGGCTGCCGTCGGGGCTGCGCGCACGGCCGCTCCACCGCGCCCTCCTTCCCATCCAGGTGGGCGTTGGACTCTTCGCCAGGACCCCGGCGGCGGGCCCCGGGGAGGCGGCCGAGGCGGCGGCGGCCGGGGGCGACATGGCAGAGGAGCAGGACCTCTCCGAGGTGGAGCTGAGCCCCGTGGGCTCCGAGGAGCCCCGCTGCCTGTCCCCAGGGAGCGCGCCCTCGCTGGGGCCCGACGGCGGCGGCGGCGGCGGCGGCGGATCGGGCCTGCGAGCCAGCCCGGGGCCAGGCGAGCTGGGCAAGGTCAAGAAGGAGCAGCAGGACGGCGAGGCGGACGATGACAAGTTCCCCGTGTGCATCCGCGAGGCCGTCAGCCAGGTGCTGAGCGGCTACGACTGGACGCTGGTGCCCATGCCCGTGCGCGTCAACGGCGCCAGCAAGAGCAAGCCACACGTCAAGCGGCCCATGAACGCCTTCATGGTGTGGGCGCAGGCGGCGCGCAGGAAGCTGGCCGACCAGTACCCGCACCTGCACAACGCGGAGCTCAGCAAGACGCTGGGGAAGCTCTGGAGGTGAGCGCCCCAACGCGCCCCCGAGAGCTCCCGCGGGCCCCCTAGCTGCCGGGGGGGCTCAGGCGAGACGGGCCCCTCTCGCGGGGGGCGGCCACGGCTCTGATGGGCCTGGAAGACCAGGGGTGGGCATCCGGCCCGCCCTTCCCCCACGAGTACCCCCTTGAGGTTGCGCTGGCTTAGAGCTCCGGCGGCCAAGGCGAGGCTCCCCACCCGGGGCAGCGGGCCGGAGGGCGCCCCCTCGTGGTTGGAATTCTGTCGGTGGCAGGCGAAGGGCCTGAGCTTCCTGGGGGAGTGAAGGCGGGCGGGCAAGCAAGAGGGAGGGGAGGTCTTCACTGATGGCACAGGGAAGTGGCACATTCACGGGTGCCACTGCCACCAGTTCCATGGTCAGGGGGATGCCCCAGAAATGCTCGGGAAAGAACTGAAGCCCTAGCCGGAGAGGCAGGGAAACTGAGGCAGCCAGATGGAGAAGGGGTGGGAGGTGGGGCAGTTTGAGGAAAACAAGGAATTCAGACATGAGTCTTTGAAAGAGTGAGGGATGGAGAACCGCCAAAGACAAATCTCTGACTGCAGGATCCTGTCCTGTCCCAGCTACCTTCTTGGTGCCTTCCTTACCCTCCCCTCCTTCAAGGAGTTGGAGGGGGGCCTCTTCATTCTCTAGGGAAGCGGACACCCAGAAAGAAGTCTCCCCTCCCACCCTGTCCCAGAGCGGCCAGGCCTGCCTCTCTCGCCCTCCCTGCTCCAGTCCCAGCGCCATCTTCTTTTCCAGGGCCCCACCCAGCGTTGAGCAACCTCCTGCCCCACCAGCACAAGAGCTGGAGCCGAGAGCCCTGGCCAGGAGGAAACCTTGGCCCCTTCCTACCCAGGGCACCTCAGAGTCCCTGGTTCCCTGGGTCCAGCCCAAACTTCTGGGGAAAAACATGTTGGCCAAGCAGGAAGTCTGCACCCCTCAGCTCAGGTGTGGGGTTCAGCCTGGCCCCTTGAGATATGTTGAGCAGGGCAACAGCCCCCTACCTCAGGCGTCCTGGGCAGCTCAGCAAAAGAACAGGGGCTCCAGGAGATACGAGCCTGCAGAGGCCACCTGATTCCCCACTAGACTGTCCAAGAGACAAGCCCAGAAAGGTACAGGGACTGTAAAGGCCACATCACAGCTGGTGGCAGAGTGGGGCCAGAACCTGGGTCTCCTGACTCTTCGTCTAGTAGTCTTCCCCCACACTGTCCTTGATGACAGGTGCGGATCACCCCTTTGTTCTAAGGTGCAGTCGGGAGGTTGGGAGGTCAGAGAAGGGGAGAGCAGAAGTGAGGTACACCTCAGTTTCAGAAAGTCAGGTTTTCTCAGAGGAGCCTGGCCTCCTCCTGCTGCCGCTCTGCCCTTGCCTGCCCCAGCATAATGGAGATTGGGTCTAGAAGGCCAAAGGCTTAGGGTAGTAAGAAAAGCAGGAAGGCCCCCCAAGAGTCCAAGTGGGATTCACATTCAGCCCCATGGCCCCATCCTTGGCCATGTGTTTGCTGACAGCCTGGTGCCCCTTCACCTTTCCATCTCAGGGCTCAGTGCTCTGCTCATCCTTGGGCTTAGTGGCCAGCCTGCTGTGTAGACTCAGAGGCTCCAGCTCTGCTCAAGAGCAGGGGTCAAAGCTAGCTCCTCTGCCCAAGGTCCATCTGCCCCGGGGTAGGGCTCAGCCCAGGCCAATACTCTTGGTGCTGTGGTATGGAAGAGAGCAAATGAGAGACAGACAACCAGGGTGGAGACAGACAGGCAGATGGAACAGGCCCTGGGGGTCATGAACAGACCACAGCACCAGCTCAGTGACAGCATCAAAGCAAGGACGGACCTCCACTTCTCCCTCACCCCATTGTGAAGGATTTAAGACTGGACCCTCCATTGTCCCTGTCCCCCCAGGCCAGAACCCTGGGCTCCCTCAGGAGGACTTGTTTCTGGCTACCACTGATTGGCCCCAAGGGCCCATCTATTGTAGGATTGGAAAGCAGGCACTGCTTGCTGAGGACCCAACCCCAGGAATAGGAGGGTAGCAGGACAATGACAACTATTAAAGGCTATGCCCATAGTGGGTGGGATCCTGGAACCCTGGATCCTGGGTAGGGGCCCTTCGAGGCCTCTGGATATGGGCTGGGCTGGCCAGTC